TTAAGCAACCAATCATTCAATCAATCAATCAACCAATCAATCAACAACATGTACTATGTGTGTCCAAAAACAAAAGAAAAATAATCCTCTTCCCCTTTTATGTTTGTATCTGTCCATCAAAAAAAAAAAAAAAAAACATGTGGAAGACAATGGAACATGTTTCTCCCACCAGCAATCACAAAAAATAATTTAAAAATTTGAAAAAAATGAAAAAACAAAATTGTTTATATTTTATTTTATTAAATTTATTTATTTGTAATCGTAAAATTTATATATTAATAATTAAAATATATATATAATCTGTTTGTGACGATATATTTTAAACTTTAAAGGGATAATTTGCAAAATACCCCCATAAGTTGAGATATATGCCAAAATGCCCCTGAAAGATGTGGGTAGAGCGGAATGCCCTCTGAAATCTTTGTGTTGTGCCCCTGTCAGGCGGGTGTGCAACTTTGCAATCTGGACCGCCCCGTTTGGGCCTTGGCTTTTCACAATAGCACCTAGGAAACGTTGGCAAGTACTGGGGCATCTTGCAAAGTTGGACGGTACCCGGTAGGGGTATATTGCAAAGATGGGGGTCCAACTGATGCTAGGGGCATTTCACAAATTCTCTTTTTTGTCAGAGGGGTATTTCACTCTACCCACATCTTTTAGGGGCATTTTGGCATATATCTCAACTTATGGGGGTATTTTGCAAATGATCCCTTTTTTGTAGGGTTTTTCAAACCCTACAACCCTATATTTGTTTAACTTTTTCCTGCCTTGTATTTTTAGAGAAAACAATATAAAAAAAACTTGGCCGCCCACGACCGGCTGAGCTTGACCTCGGCGGTCAGGTTCTCGACCACCAGGTGGATTTGGCCCCGCGGTCATGACCACGGGGGATATAGAGGATGGAAGGCCAGGAACTGTTGATGAACACGAAATGGGAGTGTCACTTTGGTTGCACGCTCCAGCAAGATCTTCGGCAATTATCGACTGTTGAACTTTACAGTTGGACTTCGCACGGTCTCGGAAATTGAAAGAGGATGTGCCTCCATTCCTGAGGGCCTACTCCCATATGTACTCTATCAAAGCCCGAAGCGCAGGCTATCCCAAGCTCACTGACAAGACAAAATGGCCAAGTGCTTCAACCACCAGTACTTTTGACTCTTTTGAGAGAAGTTTTGACCCTTCCGCTGCCGAGCCTAGATTCTGAAATGCCCTGCATGCCAAAAACAAATGAACTCAGGTTGGCATGCCTCTTCTTGTGGCTGGCGCTGCCAGCCATTTGGCCCTGGTAGGCCCACCCTTGAAATATGTGGTGTGTATATGGCCTCGTCAGAGAAAAATGTCTGGGAAACATACTGGTAGTTTAAATCACTAGTACATTTCCCATATATCGGCCACAGGCCCCTCACCACCACTTTTGGAGGCCCGAAATGGGATAACGGCCGCTGATGAAATTTATCAACGGCGGCCCGGCCACGAAAGTTGCGGCTGTTAACAAGCTGTATACCCTTGGCTATCAGCCGTGCCGCCCGGGTCCCCAAAGCTGCCACGGGACCTGCCTGTGACGCCCGGCCAGGGAATTGGGCTGGGCGGGGTCCCGGCCCATGTCCCACAAAAAAAAAGAAAAAAAAAGGGGTAACTTCAGTAGAGTCACAAAAACGAGTTATAATTGCACTATGGGGGCACCCTACCTAGCCAGAAAACTGGGTTGTATACATTGCCCGAACTGCAATTCGAAACTGTATCTTGCCCCAGAGTGCAATTGTAACTCTTTTCTGTGAGTGCCGCATAGTTTCCCCCCCCCAAAAAAGTTAAAAAAACTTAAAAAAGAATGTTGTGCAGAATAGCAAACCAAACAACGTTTGGCTGAGGGTTACTTCCAAAATCTTCACAGAATTTGAAATAAAAATAAAATAATGTAAGGAAAATCATCTCACCCCATTTAAAGGCCTTTCAACCCCTCCGACCCTCCAAAACGACGTGAACCAAAAAACAAAAAAAAAAGACCAGATTTGGGTCCCTCTCGGAGGGCGCAAAAAATGCCCCATGATCAGGGAGGGAAAAACAACAGCGGCTCCAGCTAATGCGATTGTTGCACAGCCCGCTCCAATTAATTTTGCACCTTCTAACATAGCCATCTTCTTTTTGTTTGTATCAAAACAAAGACCATTTATCGTTGATTACCCAAATCGCCGATTTTGTAAGAATCAATGCGGCAGAGGCTCGCCAGCACTTCCCTCGTGACTTTTTTTTTCACTTGCCCGGGTGACAGGGGCAAGAGGATCCAAGTCGCAGTGGCCCGGCTGCCCGGCGGGGCAGCCGGGCCCAGGGCCAGGCCCGTGCGGGTCTGGTAGCCCAGCGCATATCTGAAAAATAGCAGGGTAAAACTTAAACCACAGGTATGTTTCCCAGCCATTTTTCTCTGACGCATCTTGCATGCCCCCAATTTTCATGGGTCAGCCTACCTGAGAAAAACTGATGAGACGCCAGCCAAAAGGACACCTGAGTATATTCTTTTTTCTTTGGCAGGCAGTGCGTTTCAAGGCTCAGCAAGGGAAGGGTCAAAAGTACGGGTGGGGGCTCCAGCTGACCCAGTCACCCACAGGCAAATCCCTATATAATCTTGTTGTAAAGGCTAATTCTTTTAAGCCCAACCAATTCAAGTACCTGTCAAATCTGTACAGAACAGCCGTTCACAGGTTTTCAGGCCATTTTTTATTTATCATTTTAGTATTACGGGGTACCCCATAGCAGCTAGCCCAGGGTCAAGCCTAGGAACATGCGGGGCTTTACCCTACCAGAGGGTGGGCGATACCCGGCAGCGGCGGCAGGAGCCAGCCGGAAACGTCAGCGGGCTTAGCTCAGTTGGTAAGGCACAGAAGTTGCATTCAGGAGGTTGTGGGTTCAATCCCCATTGGCCTCATGTACGTGCCTGGGCAAGCTTGGTGTTGTACCAGCTAGAGATAACCCGTTGGCTCTCCAAGCCAGCATTGGCAGGACCTTGCCAGTGGCCAAATATTGTTGGTTGCTATGCAGCAATGATATTCGCCATTAGACACCGCTAATGTGGGGTTGGAGGGGGGTAGGGGGAGATGCAAGTGACTGGCTGAAGATGCCAGGCACTAGCATCGCCGGTTTCCCCCATCGGCAATGCCTGATCACCTCAGGCTGCATCATCGTGATGAGGGGCTGATACAAGCCTTGCTCTCGCACAGCTGCTGCTGCTGTGGTGCAAAACCTACCCCGTGGACTGGGGAGAGTTCCAGGTTTGGTTGGTGTTCCCCGGTACTATACATAGAGTAGCGAGAGGATGAGATATAATATATACAAAAGAAGATTGAGAGAAGAATTAAAAAAAGAAACATCAGCGACCACTAATCCCTGTGACTCCCCTCTGGTCCTCGTCCCCTACGAACATCAGCAGGTCTCTTCTGAATGCTGCTCTGGGGGTCCAGACTATCTCCACATGGCAGGCACCAAGCTTGGCCAGGAAGGTGCATGAGCCTTCAGGCCGAGGCCACTTGGGATTGAACCCAAGACCTCCTGAATGTCACTTGCATGCATTATCAACTGAGAGAGTAGGCCGCTAGATCCGTTATGTATATATAATCTAACAAGGCCTGAATTGCTGATCTTTCCGTTGTCCCGAAGGCCTGAATTGCTGATCACCCCGTTGTCCCCGAGGGGACCAAGTGCTAAGAGGTCCAGAAATAGGGCAATACCACGCTGGTAGTCTGGGAAAACTGATGCCCTCATGGGCCACTAGTCTTCCCCCGAATAGAACGCACGATCATTACAGCTGAATCTTTCAGTCTAAATTCAGCTATAATGACCGTACGTTGTATTCGGGGGAAGACTATAGTCACGGTGCCTATCGGAGAAGCCGGTCTCCTACAGTGAGTGTTTTTTTTTTTTTTTGGGACAAAGCAAGGAAATTCCATTGTCCATTGTCCATTGATACCATTTACCATGAGTTGGCCGTGAGTGTAGCCTTGCAACGACGATGCCCTTCTCCCCAAAAACAGAGAAACAAGAGAAAAAACAGAGAAAAAAGAGAAGGGTCCAAGTCTGCGGTAGTGCCGGTAGGGGGTCGACGCCGGACAGCATCACGGCGGGATGGTGGGCTGGCGCACAAACACAGCAAGGTGTTGGTCCGCCGAGTCCGCCGTTTTGGCAGCGGGACTACCGAGTGAATGGCGCGGGCGGCGGGCCACCATTGCTTACGACAGGCTTCAAGTTGCGTAAAGGTAAACGTACTAGACGGAAAGGAAAGGAGTTCGCGAGGCGATATAAGTTGTTGGTATGATAATGTTGAACAAGGTGGGCGTACTCATAACTCCGACGGGTCGGGTGTTGTGTGTTGGAAGCATTCGCGGTCACCGGTCTGCTTCCGTTCCGGGGTGGAGTTCGGGATTCGCGGCAGTGCGTAGTCGCGCAGGACGAAGACAGTGCTCGCGGGTGTGTGTGCAGCGCCTGGGCTCCGACACAGTGGCGTAGCCGGGCAGAAAAGAGTCGGTGGTTGTGAGAAAGGGCCAATGTGTGTTGCCTGAGCAACCCCTCGCTGTGTTTGTTGCGTGACTGACGGGAAAGTTCACGAGTTTGTGTGTGTGCGTGTGTGTGTGTGTGTGTGTGTGTGTGTGTGTGTGTGAGAGAGAGAGAGAGAGAGAGAGAGAGAGAGAGAGAGAGAGAGAGAGAGAGAGAGAGATCAGCTGGTAGAGCGCCGCTCTTGCAAGTGGAGTGTTGCGTAAGCAACCCCTTGCTATGTTTGTTGTGTGAGTGACGGGAAAGTTCACTAGTTTGAGAGAGAGAGAGAGAGAGAGAGAGAGAGAGAGAAAGAGAGAGAGAGCGATGCAAGGAGGAACTGGTTTTGAGGAGGAAAGGGACGGAACGGCACCGGCCGTGGGTGGGTGGGAATCAGCGCTAGGAGATCGGGAGGAGGAAGCGAAGGCCACGTCGTCGAGGACAGGCCACGTGACTCCTGAAGCCGGCTTGGATAAGAAAGGGGATATCGATGCTGTTGGGGCTATTTCGGCCGCGGAAACTGCGGCTTGGTCGGCAATTCCCATGCAGCAGCTTTTCGAGGCCCCGGGGACCGCGTCGTTGACGTCAACAAGTGAGATGCCGTTGGGTGAGGAAGACGCGAAAAGGCGGCGTAGTATCATGACCGCACGTGATGCCAAGCCTGCAGACGCGTCTGCTACGTCAATCCTATGCTCTGTCGGGATGTACTTGAGCGCGAGGCTAGTGGAGGTCGGGATCGAACACGTGTTTGCTGTTCCGGGGGACTTCAACATGAGCCTGCTTGACGAGGTCAGTGACTCAGTGCAGACTGTGCAGTGGTTTGCTAGCGTGCCGTGTGTTTTGCCCTTTCGTTCTGTTTTCTCCCCATATGCAAGGGCGTACTCACACTACGGGTTACCGTAGCACTTTCCTAAATGTGTCTGACTGCGATTACGGCCCGTCGTGGATGAATCTGACGGTAACCACCTCTAGAGGGGAGTACAAAAAGTCCTAGTGTGAGTATGGCCGACAGAGTGAAATGAGTCAGGGAAACTCCGAGTGAACAGGCGGCCTCGCGGCTCGCGTCGCTACACAACATTTTAAACGAATATGGACCCGGTGTCCGTTTCGATACGTTTGGATTGACGGAACATTTTTTTTTTTTTTTTGATTTTTTTTTTTTTTTTTTTAATGCGCAGGGGCCATGCTAATCTTCTCTGTATCGTTCCAATTTTAACGGATGTCCCGAAGGACTGATTTACTCGTTTGTGTAGTCAAGCGAGGCCTATTGCGTGACAACCCCACTTTTCTTGTCGTTTTCTTCCTTTCTGCGTAGGGTACACCGGGCAGCTCCTCTGTGACTCTGTAAATCATACACGTATATATGTGTGTATATGTGTATATACATGTACATATATGTGTACATCTGTATCTAGTGTGGATGTCATATTATGACGAGCGCTGCAACGTAACTGGATGTTGTGCGGAATATAGTTATCACGGCCGGGCGTGTTGTTCGGCGAAGACGGTACTTAGCAATTTGAACTACATGCATGTTCCTGTTTTCTTTCCTTCACCCCTCCTCCTCCCCCCCCTCCCCCACCAAATCTCAGTGTTATGTAACTGAGTCGTGTTCCGTGGATTATGGCGAAATGTATTGAGAGAAATAGCGAGAGAGAGAGAGAACGTTTATGGTGCGCACGGCGCAGTGACGGATTCAGTGCCCTCTCCGCTCGAATGGAACGGCCAACGGCCGGTCGTTATCGCTGCTGTGCCAAATACAACTATAATGACTGGGCGTTCTATGCGGGTGAAGAAGGTATTCAGCAATTATTACTCAACATATGTTTTCCCCCTCCCCTCTCCTCCCCCCCACCAACAAAAAAAAAAAACAAAAAACAAAAAACAAAACAAAGAAAGCAGAAACAACATCAGCTCCACCCGCTCCCACCCTGCGTCCACTCCTTGTCAGTTGTTAACGTGAACTGTTCGCTGGTGAAATTAACTTCTTGCCGGCCCTACGATCTTCCCCCGAATAGAACGCCCGGTCATTATAGCTGTATTTGGTGCAACTTTCAGTCCAGATACGGGAATAATTACCGGGCGTTCTGTTCGGGTGAAGACGGTAGGTGAAGTTTAATTCATTTGGTTACATCTGGATTCGAACTCACGTCTGCATTCATAGTCAACCCATGCGACATGCAGTGTCGACACGTCCCACATGCAGTGTCGAGTCTGTCGACACGTCCGACATGCAGTGTCAACGCGTACCAAACTCGGTGACTGAGTCCTTCGGGACATCCGTTAAAATTGGAACGATACAGAGAAAGAAGATTAGCATAGCATGGCCCCTGTGCTTTCAAGGATGACACGCATACATCAAGAACTGGGCCTCATCGACGAAGCGTCCCATGCTCACGGTCTACTGGCATCACACGGCCAACGCATTGTACACGCGCAGTCAACGCGTGCGAGATCCAAGGTCCACACGCATCCGACCGGCCCGGTACTTGAAAGTCAACGTAGGCCTCCGACAGTCAAAGTAGGCCACCGACAGTCGAGTTATCACTCCAAGCCAGTGCGTTCAGCGCAGTCAACGCCTCAGCGCAGTCAACGCCTCCGAGACTCGAGGGCGATGCGCCTGACTTTCTAGGTCAACGCTTTCAAATTGAGCGGCTGGTTACTGGACTTGACTTCAGTGTTGTCACTGGGCCTCGTTCCATAGCCAACATTCGACGTGTATCTGGGGTATGAACTTGACCAGATACGTTTCCCATGGTCCAACACTTTGAATCTATCGGTTCAATTACCAGGCCCACAGAGACATTGAGAAGGTTATGTAGTGGAGCGATTCGGAATCCCACCTTTTCCGATATTCGTCCGCCGGAAACGACGATACCCCACTTGGCGAGACTGCGTGCATATTCACCAATTTATCTGACGTTAAATGTGGACCAGCTGCGGATTCAACAACATCTGACCTAAAATTGCAAGTTCAACGAATTGAATGTATCTGACGTTAAATGGTGGCGTAATTCGTGTCTCCGTCCGGGCTTGCACAGACGATCCCACTGTCAGCAGACACCTTATGACGCCTTTATCAGTATTGCCTTCGGGTTGCGGAAAATTGACCACGTGGAAAATTGATCACGTGGAGAATTGACCACGTAGAAAATTGACCACGTGAAAAATTGACCACGTCGAGACGCCTCCGGGTTGCGGAAAATTGACCACGTGGGAAATTGACCACGCCTGCATAGAATCCACTGTGGGAGGCACGCACGCAGCGTTTCAGGCTTCAGTGATCAATCTCCAGAGGGAGGGGGGGGGGGGGGGGGGGGGGGGGGGGGGGGGGGGGGGGGGGGGGGGGGGCGCTGGCGACAACTGACGATGGAGAAGCAGCGAGGACTCAGGAGTATGAACATGAAGAGGAGGAGTGGACGTGGGTTAAGGTTGCGTCTATTTTTGACAAAACTGTTTTGAAGAAATGGATGCTGGACAACTGGAATAGGGTGCAGGAGGGCACCCCGAACATGCCCAGGACTGCATACGGGTTAAGGTTGCATCTCTTTTTAATAAAACAGGTTTGGATTCGTGACAATTGGATTATTGGAATAGGGTGTGGAGATCACCCCATATTGGAATAGGGTGTGGCGATGACCCTAACCATGGCGAGAGAGTCTCAGCGAGAGAACAACTCACACACTAGGCGATAAAGCGAACGGCGGAGTCTGATATGGATGAGAGTTGGGGTAGTGATGAGGACGGCGGACAGGTAGCACCGGGGGATGGAGCATTTGAAGTGGAGTGTTTTTTTTTTTTTTTTTTTTTTGAGATATGGTCATTGAACTGGCCCGCTCGAGGCCGGCTCGAGGTAATTCACAATAATTGTACTATTTTAGTATAATTCTAGTATAGAAATTTCACTCTATCTGCTTTTAGTGAAGTTCGAGCTCAGGTCTGTATTTCACCAGACCAGATCAAGGGTGTACCAGCTGAGCTACGCCACTTGGTAGAGAGCGGAATTTTAGTTCTCGAGGAGAGAGAGGAGGTGGTTTAGTAACTTCAGTTCAATCATCGACTCAGAGGAGTTTCTGAGGGAAGAGCTTCTCCAAGGACAAATCCAGGAATCCGAGATGAAATTCCTAAGGGTTCCAACGTTTAGGACACGCTGTGCCGCCAAGCGTTCTTGTTGCTCCGTGGATCTCCCTCCTTTTTCGTGATTTGCCCATCTTCCCTCTCTCTCTCTCTCTCTCTCTCTCTCTCTCTCTCTCTCTCTCTCTCTCTCTCNTCTCTCTCTCTCTCTCTCTCTCTCACACACACACACACACACACACACACACATGCACACAGAGCTTCGGTGGCTGTTTCGCCTGGTTCTTTTGGCAGTTGTGTAGGAAAATAGGACTCGGAAGTGAAGTTGCAATCGTCTGATTTCGATTCATGCTTTCGGTAGAACTGGGGATTATTTGTCAGGTTAGTCAATTCATAGTTCTTGGTCCTCGGTTAGTCAACAAGCAATCATGTCAGGCTGGGTAGCCAACCCAGAAAATTCATTGTGAATTCATTGTGTGATCCGCGATGCTCGCGCTTAGTCATCTCGCAGTGTTGTTTAGCGGCCTTGTACCCAAGAGGTTTCGAACCCAAGAGGTTCTCAACAGGAGGAGTTGTAAGGAAGAAGATAAAAAATGAATTGATATCTATTTTGTTTCCTTTGTTTTTTTTGGCTTTTGTGTTCTGATATTCATGTGACGATATATGGTCAAACAGAGGAGCTGCCCGGTAAACCGTAGGTGGCAGAGAGGGAGAAGAGGGTGAAGAGGACAGCAAACGACTCGGGGGGCTGTGGCATTTGTTTCGTCGGAGTTTCACCGACTCGGTATAATAAATATTGCTTTTTCGAAGTTTTTCCGAGTTCGGCAGCAAAAATGTTTGAAGTTTCTATTTGCCAAAATAGAGGTTTCGTTCCAGGCTTGCAGATTTACCTGGTTCCCATAGTTTGAGAGCAAAAATAAAAATACAGCGGTTTGCCCAACTTTGCCCATTTTCACAGCAAAGGACCCCTAGGGGATAATTGGTAGAAGGCGCCCACGCCAAAACCTTTTCGGTTTTGGCCGCCCGAAGTTTAGCCGTTTGGTACTACCGCCCCAATGACTTGCATGTGGGGTACTACAGGCCCACGGGTAGCTCCAAGGGCGCTACCGGATCATGAATCTGGCGCATAACAGCGCCAGATTCATTTTGATGTAAAAGAGGCAGCGGGTGGTAACGCTGAAGTATCGAAGGAGGCCCACGTACGCGATTTTGAAAAAGAAGGGCCCTACCGGTTCATGAATCTGGGGCGGAAACAGCGCCAAATTCTTGAACCGGTGAAAACAGGCCCAGGGAGATGTGGCCACGGTACGAAGGCGCCTTTCACCCAGGGGAAAGTTGTTTGGGCCGGTAGTACCAAACGGCCAAACTCCGGGCGGCCAAAACCGAAAAGGTTTTGGCGTGGGCTCTTTCTACCAATTATCCCGACCCCTAGGCCTCTGGCCTCACTGACAGGTACAGGACCCCTAGGCCTCTGGCCTCACTGTCAGGTACTCAGGGACTGAGCGTTCTGGCCTTAGGTACTCAGGGATCATGCATCTTGTTTTTTTTTTTTTTTTTTTTGGGCATGCCCGAGGCGTCTCGGCCGTGGCACAGCCAGCCACGCGTTGAGATGCCTTTTTTTTTTCTATTTTTTTGTAATTAACATTGGGCATGACCTGCAGCCGGGATGCCTCGCCAGAGTCGCCACGCCCGCCGGGGGAAAAAAAACAAAAACAACTTGGCCGAAAAATCTCCTGCGTGGCCATGGCTGAGATGCCTTGTCCATGCCTGTGGGAAACCGTACCCCCAGCTGAGAAGAGGGCAACAAACGAGGGCTCGGGCTGTGACGAAATCCCAAATAATATATGTAAGTCAAACAGAGCTGCCCGGTTACCTCTGATGCTTAATACTGTTTTCCCCTGAGGAGAATGCATGGTAATTACGACTGTATCTGCATGGGAAGTTGCCCCATGACTGCACGTTCTATTCGGGAGAAGATGGTAGTGGAGTTCCTTCAGTTATCTGTTGGTTGATCTTCGTGCTTGAAAGGCCGAAACACAGCCCGGCACATATCCTGGATGCTAAAGGATGCCCATTGGATCTGCCTCATAGGGCCCCTTCTCCCCCTTCTTAGGGTCCCCTCAGGTGCTGCGTGTTTGTCAGTTTGAGGTTAGTTGAGCGTCGTTGGGAGAGGTTAGGAGTGTTGTTGTGAGAATGGCTTTTGATTTTGAAAGAGGTTAGTTTGGCGTTCGAACTTTGGAAGTCAATAGTCTTAGACTTTTTTTTTGTGGGTTGGATTTCAATTCTAGGGAGTGTCTCATTCTCCTTCCTCTGAGTTCCTCGTTTTAAATTTTAATAGAGAAAAAGGAGCAGGAAGTCTTGGGGCATACTCACACTTCAACTGTCCTGAGGCAGGATGTATCTGACAGCTACTACTGCCAGGCCTGAATGTACCTGACCTAAACCACGTCCAGGGATCAGTGGAAGAAGTCCTAGTGAGGGCAGGCCCTTCAGGCCGTTAAACCCCATCATACGTTAAACCACCAGTACATCCAGCTACCGGCCGTGGGGCCTTTTCAGAGGCCGCCCGCCACCGATTCGATTTATCTATGGCACTGGGCCTACACAATCCAAAAATTGTGTAGGCCATGAGTTTTCTTTTTAGCAAGGCTGGGGCTGTGTACTGGCGGTGATGTCTGGTGATGCCTTTCCAGCCTCCTCTTATCGGACTGGAAAGATTAGGGCAAGGCTGGGGCTGTGTACTGGCGGTGACGTCTGGTGATGTCTTTCCAGCCTCCTCTGATCGGACTGGAAAGATTAGGGCATGATCACACTTCGTCTAGCATTTTTCCAAAATGCACCTGACTGCAGTTATGGCCAGACTTGCACGAACATGACCGCAATAACGTTCACAGCGTAATGTCAGAGTGTGAGGAAAAAAGCGTAGTGTGAGTATGCCCTTAGCTTGTATACATGCATGATGAGGGGTCATTGCATTCGGGGAAAGACGGTAGTACTCTGAGGCATGGTTTGAAGTGTCGAGTAATTTGGTAAGGTGCACTTTCCACAAAAGACAAGGCTTAGCCCGTGTGGACTGGTCACAATCTATGAAATTCAATCCCCCCCCCAGGCGGCCACACGCGGCCTAGGCTGTGACCCCGAGGCCATGAAAAAAAAAAAAAAACACGCAATTCGAAAAGTTCTGGAGAAACAATATGTTATATGGTCATATCGAAAAACTTCACTGAATTTAAAATAAAAAAACATAAAGTTGTTCAGTATAGATTTTGCCTAAGGCTTGTGGTCATATCCATAACATTTTGCCTTGTGGTCATATCCATAACTTTTGCCTTGTGGTCATATCCCAAAAAAAAACAAAAACCGCTTCTGCCTCAGGAAAATTAGTTTTTGAATTTTTAAAATTCAAAGACGAAGTCAAAAAATAAAAATAAAAAATTGCACAATTTAGATCTCGAAAAGATCTACAACACCATTTTTTTATTTTTTTTTTGAGATTTAAGTCTAAGACAATTCCTGAAAGTTGTGGCCGCACCGAACCGCGGCCGGAGCCGCGGCAGCCATGATCACGGCCGCCTCTGAGTCTGACCCCGCGGCCGTGGCCGTGGGCGATACATAGGTCACAATGGTCCAGACCTAACCGATTTGTAGAATGATGTGAACTCTTACCAGAACAAAACCTTGCAAGCTTATATGTCTGTCAGGTTGGCGAGTTCTTTTTTTTTCTCTTCCCTCTCCCCTCCTCCCTCCCCCCACACCCCCTGGGAAATCCCCCTTTTTATAAGTGGCAATGGTCAGATCTAGCCAATTTGGAGGGTGATGTGAACTCGTACAAAAACAAAACCTTGCAGGTTTGTGCGTCCATTGGGTTTGGCAAGTCCTTTTTTTCCTCTTCCCCCCCGCACCCTTCTTTTGGGCCTGGGAGTTCCCTGTTTTTAACGAGGGGCAATGCCTTTTGACCCCAGGTATTTCAGAATGATTTCTTCTGGTCATCTGATCGCCGATGGAGTCAAAATTGCCTCTGCATTTCAACAGTTCTTTGGGTGTACCAACTGGCATACTCGCACACATGTATAACTGCAAATTTTACGGGTGTGAATTTGTGAATCTAGGGCACCTTCTGGTCACACAGCTCACTTGTATGTACCACAGAACAGAAAGGACACTATCCCGACCTGTTCTCCTCCAAAGCAAGCTAAAATTCGCACCATGCAGTCACACTGTGCCATGCACAAAAATCTGTCTTTTCTTCTGTTTTTTTTTTTTTTTTTTTTTTCCCCTTAAATTTTCTCGTGAATCCAGAAAGAAATCATGAAAAAAAAAATACGCAATTGCACTGCAAAATGTGTAACCCCGGCTCTCCAGGCTGCTGACATTTTCGTGCCCAAATGTGTGTGCAAAACAGCGACCCTCTGTGACCTAGAAGTTACGCGTTATTTCAATTTATTTATGATTTTGCGAATATATATGTGCTAGTGTGAATATTCCACAAGTTACGTCCGTCGGGTCTGGCCAGTTCTCACCAACCTGAAATTTGAAAACGTTTGACAAAAACCTGACACTTCGTCTTTGGTGAGGCGTCTTTGCGGCTATGCCCAAATGTGTGCAAAACAACGACCCTCTTATGACCCTAGAAGTTGTGCATTATGTCCTTCCGGACATCCGTTAAAATTGGAACGATACAGAGAAAGAAAAGATTAGCATGGCCCCTGCGTAATCAAGGATGACACGCATAAATTGAGAAATGGTCCAAATTTAATAAAAAAAAAAGAAGAAAAAAGTTGTGCATTATTTCAATTTTTCTACGATTTAAATTTAAATTGCAAATGTGTCAGTGTTGAGTATTCCATGAGCTATGCCCGTCGGGTTTGGCCAGTTCTCACCAACCCGAAATTTGAAAACTTTTGACAAATACCTGACACTTCGTCTTTGGTGAGGTGCCGTCTTGCGGCGACTTTGGGCCTCGCCCCACGGCGCAAGAAACGGAAACGAAACGAGTGCATCTGCCCATGGAAGGTGGCAACATACACTCATTACTATTTATAGCAAACGGATGAACCTGGCCATTTTGTGCGGGAAGATGCAGTCATTTCGTTTTTTGTTTCGTGTGCCGTGCGGCGACGCCCTTTGATCTCACCAGTTGGCGCGGTGAAAGACCATATGTTTGGATTGGAATGTTATCTGTACTTCGTTTTTATTTCTTTATTTTTTTGTGAATGATCCCTGTTTATTGAAAAAAAGAGAATTGAAACTGTCTTTGTTTTTGTGATTGACAGGTGGCCAAAAACGAGCACATCTCTCTTGTAAGGTATTAAATTTATTAATCATCAATTTTACCACCCTGTTGTGATTCATCCCTACATTAGGCAAGGCCGTACTTCATACGGGTACGACTGTTTGGACTGAATCTGGCTGCGATTGTGGTTGGATTCGCTTGGGTACATTCATCATATGGACTAGAAGTGAGCGCATTATGTGTTGCACTTCATTTGTTTACATTTCTCTGCCCTCCCCCCACGCCTTCTTCCCCGAAGCCACCTTTGGCGCCTCCCGTCTTCTATTCTCAGCAATGGGTTTCATCGTTTGATGATCCCCTCGATTCCCCTGTACTTTTCGTCTAAGTTGTCAAAATTTCAAATTTGCATGGATATCTGTATCCAAGTTTGCATTTATTTCAGATTTGCAATTTTGCGCCATAATTAGTTTTTCCCAGGAAATCGTATTGGGCAAAGTGTGTGACGAGTATTTAAAATAATGAATCTGCCAGTTCGAAAGTCCCCTATAGCCTGTAGGTCAGAGTCCGTCAGACGAGGGACGAAGGGTGCGGTGATTATTAAAGAAATGAAGGTTTTTTTGCTTTTTTTGTTTATATGGTTATTAAAAAAATGAAGGTTTTTTTTAGTTGATTTTTTCTTGTTTATAAAAAGGCTGATTCTTTTGAGCTCAACCAATTCAGTTCGCCTTTTTTTTGTCATTATAGTATTACGGGGAACCCTGTAGCAGCCACATCCGTGCTCAAGCCTCCTGGGAACATGCGGGAGCTGCACCCACCGCCAGGTGCGATACCTGCTACAGCAGGTGGGTGATACCTGCCAGTGGTCAGCCGGTAGGTGGGTGATACCTGCCAGGGGTCAGCCGGTAGCATCAGGACCGAGCTTCTTCGATGGGCCAGTTACTGTGGCTCCCCTTCGGTCCCCTCCCCCTATGAGCATCAGCAGTCTCTGCTCAATGAGCTTATTTGTGACAGACCAGGAAAATACGACAGTTATCATCATGATGCTGACCGTGGAGTAATTTGTGTTAAGCCACCAGTACCTTTGCCCGCTTGAAAGAAAGAGTTGTGCTGGTATATTCCGAATCCAAGCAGGAAAGGGCCGGCGTTGATGAAATTCATCGGCGGCCCATTTTTCATTTTGGGCCTCTGAAACTGCCTGCGGGCCGTGGCTGTATATGGGAAAGGCACAGTAAATTTTATTTCAATTGAGATGGTAACAAAATTAAATTGAAGAGATAAAATTAAAAAGTGATAAAATCTAAAAGTTTAGAAATAATTTCAAATAAACTGGTCAGCCATTTTTCAGAAGGCTTCATACAAAAGAAATGCAACTTCATGATTCGTCTGACAAGAAGAAACCTGCTGTCATATTATGGCTATTCTACCATTATTGTTTTGTTTTCTTTGGCAGTAATCACTGAGAGGGTACATCTCTCTCTCTCTCTCTCTCTCTCAACCTCGACTTTGAGAGTCCTTGAGGATGGATGCTTCTGCTCCTTTCTCTCCCTCTCTCAACCTCGACTTTGAGAGTCCTTGAGGATGGATGCTTTCGCTCCTTTCTCTCTTGACATTTGGCTTTTGTAGTGCACTTGAGGAAGACTACTTCTGAGGCCAACGAATGGCAATATATACAGTTTTTCTACAACTTCTGCTCTTGTGGGGAGAAATTGGTTCGGTTACTTTGGTATGGTTGAAGGCGGAGAGTGTGCACTGTGGCTGTGGAGAACCTAGCAAGTGATAAAACGAGCAAGATTCCTGAAGCTGAGCAATGGTAAAATGGCAAGGACGAATCTTCTAGCTAGTGTGAAATGCGCAATTTCGATGAACAGGTTGATATAACTTTTCATGACCAGGTTGATACAGGCTCGTACAGCCTTTCATGACTTAATTCGGTGAGTTAAAGATACTGGCGACCCAGTTAAACATACTGGCAACCTTCGGATTGGTGTAAAACAGCAGTAAAGGACACTAGTATGTGCTCAAGTGCCCTGAGAAGTCGATGAGCCGATGTGTTGTTTTTGTGTTGGTGTGCTACTGAATCGGCTTTCTGTACATGTGATGGCATTACAATCATACGCTAAGGTGATTGAGTTATAACTTGTATTTATAACCAATGAATTTTTGCATTATCTGCGGTCTGACATCTTATAAGGACATTGCTAGTCTAGTAGTATGTGCACAAGACTACAAGTGCCCTGAGAAGTTGATGAGCTGACTCAGAGGTGGTGTGAATATCTTGAGAAGGACAATATGTGCACAAGTGCCCTGAGAAGCTGACGAGCTGAGGTGATGTGCTGTACTTAACTCAGGTTACTCAGCATCGCCTTACCTTGTTCTTAACTCCAAGCATGAAAAGTAATGGTGACCCTGATGGCACTGACATTGTTTCCTGACCAGCCAAGGCAGTGTTCTGCGATATGCTGGCACTGGATACCGTGGTATATATGTGTGGAATCTGTAGATACTATGTATGTATGTAAATACGTGTATAAATGTATGTATGGCAGCTCTGTTTGACGATATCTATGGCTGGCCTTGTACGTAAGAGGTGATGAACAGGTGTGGCTTTCCTTCCGTACTTCTTTTCCTTTTCTTGTTTTGCTTTTTTTCGCCTTCACGTTCTGATTCAGGGTGTGACAATATATATATTTATTATATTGGTTTGACGATATATGTGTATGTCTTATGTATGTATATGTATATGCTTTCAGCTGCTCCTTCACGTTCTGATTCAGGGTGTGACGATATATGTGTATATGTATATGCTTTCAGCTGCTGCAACGAGTTGAATGCAGGATATGCTGCCGAGGGGTATGCACGCGTTCGATGCGCTGGTGCCATGATTGTGACGTTCAATGTGGGGTCTTTTAGTGCACTGAATGCGGTGGCTGGGGCGTATGCGCAAAATCTTCCTGTAGTTTGCATCACAGGCAGTCCCAACAGCCTGGAAAGAGGTGAAGTTATCCCCTTGGGCCCTTGTTCTTTACCCCGCCTTTTCTCCAACCGTGCTTGGGCCAGTGGGCCAGTGGGCCACGCTGCCACGATACATTGTCTACACAGACTACACATTATCCACATTATCAGGTCCAGTCTCGAGTGTGGTACCGCTACCGCCTCCGAAGAACAGAAACATTAACTTTTGCTGAATTTCTCTCACCGAAGGAATGTAGCAATCCCTCGACTGTGAAGCTGTCGTCTGTCGTATGACAAAAAGCCATTTGGAGTTTTTGATTTTATGAAATGGTACTCCTGGAGGCAGGAGGGATAGGATCCACTAGATTCAGGATTTAGCTTAACTTCTGGGTTTGGACAATTTTGCTGTCTCCGTTGAGATCTGCTGTCTTGATGCCTGACAGCGAATGTGGTCAAATCAGCCAGTCCTTGGCTCGACCTCGGTGAATCTGGTCAAATCAGCGAGTCCTCGGCTCGAATCCAAATCCAAGCAAAAAATGTCACATATTGCTGCCACTATATTCTCACGCGGGGTGGATCTATTCTGTTGATGCCATCTTATGGTGGAATCCTCATGCGAAGGATGTGCCAAATGATGGCCAAATGATGCAATTAAAATTATTAGATTGGAGGGATTTGCAGAAATCCTTTTATTTATTGATTCAATTTGATTGACATTATGTCTTTTGAAAATGTAATTAGAGGAATCCTCATGCGGAGTGATGCGAAATGATCTCAAATGACACCGAATGATACCAAATGATGCCAGTGATGTTAATTTAAGGGTACAAAAGATGAAGATGATGCAAATGGCAGCGAAATGGTGTGCTGAATGATGCAATTAATTTCAGTGAAGGGGAATTGCAGAATCACCCCTTGAATTCATTCATTGGAGGGACCACCACTAAATTGCCAAAACCCACAGGAGTGAAATATGTGTGCCGAATGGTGCAATTAAATTGAATGAAGGGGGAATTGCCGAAATACTCCTTGAATTCATACATTGGATGCACCTGCACTAAATTGAAAGGATCACAAATTTTGAGTCCCCATTTTTCTCAATCCAGAGTCGGCAAGTATAGTCTCAAGTCGTAATTAAAAAAATGAAATATAGAAAAAGGGGAAGTTCGAAGGAACTTTGGCAGCAAGAAGCTTAAAATGCACAGCCTCGATTTCAAAACATTTCCTAAAGTCACAGTCAAGAGTCACGGTCCAAAAGGCAGAGGACATAGACACAGTCAACAGACACGGTCATAGGTCAAGAGACAGTCAAAGTCAGAAAGTAAAGGCAGAAGTCCAAAGGTACCCCAACAAATATAAACAAAGGGATTGTGTCCAATGACTCCAATGCCAAAAGTCAGTCTGAGACCCTGGATCCAGTTTGCAGCAACATTTGAGGAAGGGACTGGTGACCCTGGGCCAGGCAATCGGGCACCTGCCCAGGTACCAGAGGCTGAAGACTGAAGGGAGGCCAAAATGAGCAATGCAGCACTATATAGAGTGGCCGAGTTCAGTCCAGCATTCATTCTTTCACGAGTTGGGTCGAAGTGCTACTCGGCTACTTGTGCCTATTGTGAGGTGGAGAAGGGTGCTGGAGGTCTGCTAGGCGCCTGGAGGAAAAGAGGGCCAGAGAGAAGGCGGCCTGGTGGCCATAGACGCCCAGACTACAGTAGCCCAGGACAGTGTAGGGGGGTATCCAGGTAGATCATAGTAGAGTAGAGTTTAGATATGGGGGAGAGAGAGAGAGAGAGAGAGAGGCCTGGTGGCCATAGACGCCCAGACTACAGTAGCCCAGGACAGTGTAGGGGGGTATCCAGGTAGATCATAGTAGAGTAGAGTTTAGATACGGGGGAGAGAGAGAGAGAGAGAGAGAGGAGTCTTCCGCTGTGTAAACTGATGAGTATAGATGCCCAGACTACAGTAGACCAGGACAGTGTAGGGGGGTATCCAGGTAGATCATAGTAGAGTAGCGTTTAGATAGGGGTGAGAGAGAGAGAGAGTTCATGAGTGTGAGGAGTCTTCCGCTGTGTGAATTCCGCTGTGTGAACTTGAGTTTGGATTGGTGCTGATGCGCCTGTGTCAGAGAACAAGTAATGTAATTGATTTTTCTTCAAGTAGTATGTGCATGCCGCTGTTGATATGGTTGAGGCACTCTTCGTAATTTCGAGTTTCCAGTGTGTTATGTGATCTCTCTTATCATCGTATGTATGCGCATGACTCGGCATGAATAAAGTTGGGACAGGACCCACAGGATGGCCCTGTAAGTTGCAATACTGGGTCGTTTGTCTGCAGACATGGCATAAATATTGATGTGATGTACTCCCGTGCCATCGATACTGCTGTGATGTACTGCTGGCGTGTGCGCTGACATGGCAGTGATCGCCTTGACTGCGTTGCCACTGACATTGCGTCTGGTGTGATGCGTACTGCCAACATGTTTTGTCTGTTGACACGGCATTGCTGCTGTTGTTCTGCCAGGATGATTCGCCTGCTGATAAGGGATTTCAGCTGTTGTACTGTCAAGATGTGTTGTCTCAACTTGTCTGCCCTGACTCTGCTGATATGGCGGTGCTGCTGTCTGAGGATGTGTTGGCTGCTGATGTTGCATTGCTGCTGTTGTACTGCCGGGATGTTTTGTCTGTTGACATGGCATTTGTGCTGTTGTATTGCCAGGCTGCCAGCGGTGTGGTTGGATGTGATGGTGTCTTGAATCGTTGTGAGTTCATCACTGAGTTTGAGCCAAGAATTGGAGTCAGAGGGGAGGAGGGGATTTTGTTTTTGTTTCTCAAATTCTCACGTTTTTGTTTTTGTTTTTTTAATATTTTCTGTTTTCTAAAGAATAGGTGGTGTTCATAGTACTGATAAACGGGTCTTGTGTTACATCTGCCACACAAACAACACTCACCAAATGAAATTAAATAGGCCACTGTATAAAACGACCGACATGCCTCTCGTTATGGTCAAGGGCCCCTGAGTGAGCAGCATTGTTACGCCCAGCAGAAGGAAGGGCGTACTACAGCTCCACCTGCGGGAAGAGGTCCCACTAGCAAAGACGATTGGGCTGAAAGCCTGAATCTCATCGTCTCTGTGTTTCTGGATCTCTGCTGAAAACACATCCAGATTGAGGAGCGTCATTCAATCCGACCTCGGCCTTGCTCTGCTCTCCTCTGGCTGAATTTTCTGTTGCGTTTCTGCCATCCATCTTGAATGTGCCTGTTTGGCCCAGTTGGGATCCCTGTTCTTTTTTTGTTTCTTTTCTTTGTTGGTTCCCCAAAGTGGACCAAGTGCGTTGAAGTGTCTGTGGGGACACCTAAGGATCCCAAGTTCGCAATAAGGCTTGAATTATGGATGATGATAAGATACAAAGATGCTATTAGGATAGGACCGGAATCCTAGTGAAATGTGGCCTTTACCTTGAAGCTGGAGTGAAAATGTCTGACTCAGCGAAAAGTCTCACTTGACTCTCTCCTGTCTTTTTTTTTTTTTTTTCCCTTTGTTGAACTGTTCTTACTACTGTCCAGGACCTGACCCTTGCTGTCGAGTATTGAATGCCCATCTGATAGTGCCGTGATGTCTTTAAATTTTTGTTCCTATTGCAAAAAAAACAGGGAAGAGTAGATTTGTGCATCACAGCGTGCGAAGGGGTTATGATCTTGCAGAGAGGCGCATCTACAGTGAGGTGACTTCAGAATGTGTTACAATTGACAATCCAGAGGATGCTCCTTCCCTGATTGACCGGTACGTCTCCCCTTTTAACACACACACACACGCACACACACAAACACACAGACACACACAAGCTATGAAGGGATGGTCACTGCTAGCCTCTCGCAGAAAAACTGTGATCCCCTGTCCTATGCTCATCCCCCCCCCCCTGTTTACTTGCCCAGCATGCTGTTGTGGCCTTGATCGGTCATGCTTAAATACTGTGCACGCCAGCCTTCCATACGAAAGACATGTCAGCAACATGCCATGTGTCGTCAATGTTTCCAGGAAGCTGTCATAGAAAGTATGTGTCATTACTGCGTGGACTATTCCCGGTGCCATCTATCGACACTATACTCTCCTAGCATGTCTCACATGCGGTGTTGGTCATACACCTATGGCAACCACTGACGGATCCCCCTTTTTCTTGCCAGTCGAACGACGGACACAGCAGTCCGAGGAGGAAAATAGACTTCTATGTAAACCACCGGCAGAGCGATGTGCTCATAGTTTATCACCACCAGGGCGAGCTGTTGCGGACCACATCCTGCAGCAGCTCTACACCCTTGCTTTGGACCGATCCTTCCTGTCGTAGTCTGCCCATAGAGAAGGAATGAATACTGAGGAAGCCCAAGAAAGATGCAACCCTGTGCCATTCTAAAATACTCTGTTCCAGCGGTGAATGTTTAGAATTCTGCAAGTTCCTCATTCACCTCTCCCCTGTTCTTTGCATGCGATACTCTATCCTGCCTTTCACATATTTCTTTCCTGCCCTTTGCCCCCCCCCCCTCTCCTGCCCCATACTCCTATAGAACTCTGTCTTCTATCCCGTTCCCTCCACCCTCTCCTCCACTCCCTTTGTGCTACTAATATATACATACGAATGAGCATCGTTAAGAGAACAGTTGATATGAAGATCAGAAATGAAATGAACAGAAGTATGAAGATGGACGGACACAAAGACTGAGTATAAGCTGAAGATCCGATGTGAATTGAAGAGTATGAAGTCTGGAGAGAAATGCACAGGAGCATACCTATTCTGCCTCCTGAAATAATTGAAGTGGGCCGTAAAGGCATATGGGGATGTGGGCAGCTGCTGCTCAACCACAACCAACGTGGGCAGCCTTGTACGTAAGAGGCACAGTAAAAGGGCAGCTGCAAGAACGAATGGATGGGGTACCCCAAGGACAACCAAAAAACTGTCTAATTATAAAATTGCTTTAATATATTGGACTGTCTCATCTCAAATGTTCTTGTTGTGTGCAATAGGACAGACTGCTTTGATTCTGAATCTATTGATCTCGGCAATTGGGGCTGTTGTGGGGAAAATCTATAACACGTGTATCATATTAGCTATCCAGTATCTACACCTTTTAGAATGGATGGATGTTTTGTCTGACTTGTGGGGGAAATGCGAGAGAATTTGGGGTGCTTTAACAAAACACACACACACACGAAACAGTCTGGCACAGTCATGGGTTTTTTGAGTGTATAGTGAATATGACAATGCATACACACACACAAAAAAATAAAAAATAAAAAAAAATTGAGGCTGCGAAGGGCCCTGCAGAAAACAAAAAGGCAGAGAGATCCAAGTAGTTCATTTTTGAACTATTTGGACCTGCCCCACGCCGGACCCAGCCCGGCAGTCTACCTTGGTGCCTTAGCACCACGCCCTCCTGCACGGCCACCATGTGTTGCCATTGTCGTCGTCTCGTTGTCCTCTTCTGGTGTGCATTACAGCAGGAAGCAGCCCCCCACTTCGTTGTTCACCCATATCCCACGCAGCTTCGATCAGCAGCACGAAGGAGTCGAGGGTCGCAGCAGCGGGAGGACGCGAAGGATGTAACGACCATATCCAGGTGGGTTACCACCAGCCATTCCCTCTCTCTCTCTCTCTCTCTCTCTCTCTCTCACACACACACACACACACACACACACACACACGCACAACCTGCTGATGAGTCGGTGAAAGTCCGACGAAACAGTCTGGTACAGTCATGTTTTTTTTTATGACAACACACACACAGGTGGAAGGGAAGTGGCGAGATAAGAAGATACCTGTTTTTGAGTGCATAGTGAATATGACAACACACCCACAGGTTAACGTGGACCCCCGCTTTTCGGCCCTAGGTAACGATGAATGATCCTGAATGATCCTGAATTTAGGGTTTTTTTGTGTTTTTTTGGATTTTTTTTTTTGCCTGTTTTTTTTTTTTTTTTGGACAAGCTTTCTGTGTGTCAAATTTGATGTCATTTGGAGTAATAGAATTTGTGTTGTGAAGAGTGGTGAAAATTGTGAAAATTTGATGACGGTTTTTTTGCCAAAATGTCCTGAAAATGCACTTTTGGCTTGCTGTTTCATATGTTTTTAATTTTTTTTTTTTTGTTTTGTTTTTATAATATGTTATTAAGAAGTGCACTCTATACATCGGTATAAAGTTTGTTTAAAATGGCCTTATGGTTTTCTTACAAATTGAGGCGAAAAATGGGGGTTCGGTTAACCTTTTCTCGAAACAGAGCGATTGGACTCACGGGCCTGAGGACACACTTCGCGACCAAGCACTCTTCTCATCCCTTCTCGTCGATTTCCCCTGTTTTCCTTTTCCTTCTTTCTTTTTCTTTTTCTTTTGTTTTTGTTTTTCTTCTTTTTTCCTGAGTGAGGACGCCGCCCGGCTGGGCCTGCCTGGCCGGGCTGGGCCCGGCCGGTTGGGCCCGGGGGGCCCACCCGGGTAAACTGGTTGGGCCAAAAAAACGTCCAGAATTTTTTTTGTTTTGTTTTTGAAACCGGGGTCGTTCCGCGCTCGGGGAGAGCCCCGAATCTGCAATAAAATTATGGTTTTGGGAGGGGGTGGTGTGGGGGTTGGTCTGGGTGGGGGGTGCTGGGGTTGGGGGGTTGTCTGCATATATGTTGCCTGCTGTGTGCTGAATGTATGCCATCTGATATGTACTGGGTAGGTGGGTCTGCATGTTTGTTGCCTGCGGCTCTGATGTCTGCTGCATGCCTGTTATCGACCCTTTCATTCTGAAGAACAAAAAGACTGACAAAAAATGACGAAGACTGACGAGAAGAAGAAGAAGAAGAAGACTGATAAGATGGAGAAGAAGAAGAAGAAGACTTACAGACAGACAACTTGCAGGAAATCTTTTTCTTCAGCAGCATAATCAGCTGAATATGGCCAATATTGATCCACATTCGAACCTACCTCTCTCTCTCTCTCTCTCTCTCTCTCTCTCACACACACACACACACACACACACACACANACACACACACGCACACACACACACACACACACACACACACAGTCAAACACACACACGCACACACACACAAACATATATGACAAAAAAAGTGCGCTGGGGGGGCCCCGCCCGGCCGGGCCGCCCGGGACCTCCCCCGGACCCCTGCCGGTTGCCCGGGCGGCCCAGATCCCCACTCCGTTTTTTTCTCTTTTTCTTTTTATTTCTTTCTTCTCCTCTTGAAACGGTTTTCACCTGTACCGGTGACGGTGACAGATGCAGTACCCAGGGCTTGATCCTTAGATCTACCACTTTACCCGTTCACAGACCCCGTTGACCCGTGGGCGTGAACAAGCGACCTGTTCCCTTTGAGTCGTATGTTCAGCTGCTGTATATAGTTTGGGCGTGAGACTTTGAACTGTAGACCTCAGGATTAGCACTCGTGGGGGCCGAAAGGTCAAGTATATGACTTTCTGGAGGCTCCAGAACTGGCTCTCCGTAGGTCCTTCGGAGTCTGTCCGTATCTGAGTCAGCAGAGAGCAGTCCTAGCACAGTCAGCAAAGGGCAGTCCTAGTCCTACCTAGCCCAGTCTTACTCAGTCCCAAGGTGCACTTTGTCAGTCCGCAAGTACCATGAGGGACTCTGCACACCCCGGGACCAGGGTCCGAGGGCAGATCTACGATGATCCGGAGTATAAATAAAGAGGAGTCATTCATTCATTCTGCTTGTGAGCGGTGCGGAAGTGTCGTCGGAGGTCTGCAGGTGCCTGAAGAGGAAGAGGGATGAGGAGGAAGACGGCCGCGAGTTAGTGGTAGGAGGTAGACGGCAGCCATAGCTGCCATGTAGGATAGGTTAGTGTGTGTATTTGTGTGTATTCGTGTGTGTGCGTGTGTGTAGGACATCCAGGGTGATCTGAGAGTCAGTGTGTGTGCGCGAATAAGTTGCTGTAGGATACAGTTGATCGGTTGGGAGTCTTTGTCCCTGCGCCAGAGCCGTCAAGACAAGTTTGAATTTAAGCTGTGTTCCCTGCCACGTACTATCCATGAGCTTTGTGTGGGCGCCATGCGCCAAGTTTGAACGTCATCTGTCTGTATGCATGCTGAGCGGATCGAGACAAGTCTGATTCCACTCTTATGTTTTGTTTTTTGTTTTTTTTGACAATTCCAAAAGCAAGGCTCATATATTTCCTCCTCAGCCATTGGTATTTCAACTTTGATTTTTACAATGCCATTTCAATTTTCAGCCCACCTTCCGCTACACGTTACTTGACAAAACTCAGGGCGTACTCCAAAGTTGAAATTACAACCCCCAAAATTGATATTTCAATTTTCAACCCCCCTTTACAATTTATTGATATTTCAATTTTCAACCCCACTTTACAATGCCGGCTTCAACACTGCAGCACAGGGGCTCAATGGTGCATTAGACGCATCTCCAACAAATATAGACGGGCTTTCAGTCTTGCTGGACCACTTCTTCCACCTCGAAACCATGCCATCGAAGCAAGACGTCGCTACCCTCCTCCAGATCCTCGTACCCGCCTGCACCTCTCGAGTCTATTTTGTTACTGTCCTTACCGAGAAGACATAGTTTACCTCCACGTACAACAAGTTCCCCATGAAACCGGGGTTTCGTACTCTTGAGTTCCATACAATCTCCCAATAATTGCCCTTGTAGTACTTAGCCTCTCCCACTTCTGGAACCCCATGATATACCTGAGGTCTCCCGCTCCCAGCACTCGTCATGCCCGACCCTGTCACAGCCGTCTCGCCCTCTGAGCTGCTGACGCGTCCAGTCAACACCGGAGTGTGAAAAGGCTTGCGCCGCTGGGAACCTGTACACGATGGCAACCCTTTTCCCGCCAACGTTGCTATTGCCACAGTGCATCCAGAACCCCCAAAGTTCTCGTCGCTGCCATTTTTGGAAATGCCTTCATCATCAACACATTTGACGTTAGTCCGAACACTAGTGTCTCTCGCACATGTTGTCGCTTGCGCCGCACCTGCAGATGCGCTCTTGCGGACCATAACATTATCTGAGTTTTTCCTCCGCCAACACCACCTTCTTCCGCACTTGCAGGCGCGCTGACTATTCTTCTAGCCGACTTGAACTGAGGCGGTCTGAGCACTGTCAGTGGCTCGTTACTGGCAGCACCGTTTCGCTTCTGATGTTGGCCCCAACCATCCTCGGTTTCCTTCCTCCTAGATTCTTCTTTCGCATTTCCAGCCGGAGACCCAGGCATACTGCCAAGCAGAGATGCAATTGGTCGTTTTTACGCTCCTTTCACCGTCGAGGTACCTGAGGTCTCCCGCTCCGTGCACTCGTCATGTTACAACCCCCAAAACTGATATTTCAATTTTCAACGCCCCTTCACAATTTTCGACCTCAATTTTCAACCCCACTTTACAATGCCGGCTTCAACACTGCAGCACAGGGGCTCAGTGGTGCATAAGATGCATCTCCAACAAATATAGACGGGCTTTTAGTCTTGTTGGACCACTTCTTCCATCTCAAAACCATGCCATTGAAGCAAGACGTTGCTACCCTCCTCCAGATCCTCGTACCCGCCTGCACCTTTTGAGTTTATTTTGTTACTGTCCTTAACGAGAAGACATAGTTTACCTCCACGTACAACAAGTTCCCCATGAAACCGGGGTTTCGTACTTTGAGTTCCATACAATCTTCCAATAATTGCCCTTGTAGTACTTAGCCTCTCCCACTTTTGGAACCCCATGACATACCTGAGGTCTCCCGCTCCCAACACTCGTCATGCCCGACCCTATCGCAACCGTCTCGCCCTCTGAGCTGCTGCTGGTCCATTAAACACCGGAGTGTGAAAAGGCTTGCGCCGCAGGGAACCTGTACACGATGGCAGCCCTTTTCCCACCAACGTTGCTATTGCCATAGTGCATCCAGAACCCCCAAAGTCCTCGTTGCTGCCATTTTTGGAAATGCCTTCATCATCAACACATTTGACGTTAGTGCGAACACTAGTGTCTCTCGCACGTGTTGTCGCTTGCGCTGCACCTGCAGATGCGCTCTTGCTGCTTCCTCTTCCTGAAACATCACCAGCAGCAACAGCAGCAGAAGCAGGTGGAAGAGGAGGAGGAGGAGGGGTAGAAGATGCACGGACCATAACATTATCTGAGGTTATTCCTCCGCCAACACCGCCTTCTTCCGCATTTGCAGGCTCTGACTGTTCTTCTAGCCGACTTGAGCTGAGGCGGTCTGAGCACTGCCAGTGGCTCGTTACTGGCAGCACCGTTTCGCTTCTGATGTTGGCCCCAACCATCCTCGGTTTCCTTCCTCCTAGATTCTTTTTTCGGATTTCCAGCCGGAGACCCCGGCATACTGCCAAGCAGAGATGCAATTGGCCGTTTGTACGCTCCTTTCACCGTCGAGATACCTGAGCTCTCCCGCTCCCAACACTCGTCATGCCCGACCCTGTCGCAGACGTGTGGCCCTCTGAGCTGCTGACACGTCCAGTCAACACCGGAGTGTGAAAAGGCTTGCGCCGCCGGGAACCTATAGATGATGGCAGCCCTTTTCCCGCAAACGTTGCTATTGCCACAATGCATTCAGAACCCCCAAAGTCCCCGTCGCTGCCATTTTTGGAAATGCCTTCATCATCAACACATTTGACGTTAGTGCGAACACTAGTGTCTCTCGCACGTGTTGTCGCTTGCGCCGCACCTGCAGATGCGCTCTTGCTGCTTCCGTTTCCTGTATCATCACCAACAGCGACAACAGCAGCAGCAGGTGGAAGAGGAGGAGGAGGGGTAGAAGATGCACGAACCATAACATTATCTGAGTTTTTTCCTCCGCCAACACCACCTTCTTCCGCACTTGCAGGCGCGTTGACTGTTCTTCTAGACATAACCTGAGGCGGTCCGAGCACTGTTAGTGGCTCGTTACTGGCAGCACCGTTTCGCTTCTGATGTTGGCCCCAACCATCCTCGGTTTCCTTCCTCCTCAATTCTTCTTTCGAATTTTCAGCCGGAGACCCCGGCATACTGCCAAGCAGAGATGCAATTGGCCGTTTGTACGCTCCTTTCACCGTCGAGATATACTGCCAAGCAGTGATGCAATTGGCCGTTTGTACGCTCCTTTCACCGTCGAGATACCTGAGGTCTCCCGCTCCCAGCACTCATCACGCCCAACTCTGTCGCAGCCGTCTCGCCCTCTGAGCTGCTGACGCGTCCAGTCAAGACCGGAGTGTGAAAAGGCTTGCGCCGCTGGAAACCTGAAGACGTTTGCAGTCCTTTTCCCGCCAACGTTGCTATTGCCACATTGCATCCAGAACCCCCAAAGTCCCCATCGCTGCCATTTTTGGAAATGCCTTCATCATCAACACATTTGACGTTAGTCCGAACACTAGTGTCTCTCGCACGTGTTGTCGCTTGCGCCGCACCTGCATATGCGCTCTTGCTGCTTCCTCTCTGTATCATCACCAGCAGCAACAGCAGCAGCAGCAGGTGGAAGAGGAGGAGGAGGAGGGGTAGAAGATGCATGGACCATAACATTATCTGAGGTTTTTCCTCCGCCAACACCACCTTCATCCGCACTTGAAGGCGCGCTGACTGTTCTTCTATCCGACTTGAGCTGAGGCGGTCTGAGCACTGCCAGTGGCTCGTTACTGGCAGCACCGTTTCGCTTCTGATGTTGGCCCCAACAATCCTCGGTTTCCTTCCTCCTCGATTCTTCTTTCACATTTCCAGCCGGAGACCCCGGCATACTGCCAAGCAGAGATGCAATTGGCCGTTTGTACGCTCCTTTCACCGTCGAGATACCTGAGGTCTCCCGCTCCCAGCACTTGTCATGCCCGACCCTGTCGCAGCCGTCTCGCCCTCTGAGCTGCTGACGCGTCCTGTCAACACCGGAGTGTGAAAAGGCTTGCGTCGCTGGGAACCTGTATTCAATGGCAGCCCTTTTCCCGCCAACGTTGCTATTGCCACAGGGCATCCAGAGCCCCCGAAGTCCCCGTCGCTGCCATTTTTGGAAATGCCTTCATCATCAACACATTTGATGTTAGTGCGAACACTAGTGTCTCTCGCACGTGTTGTCGCTTGCGCCGCACCTGCAGATGCGCTCTTGCTGCTTCCTCGTCCTGTATCATCACCAACAACAATAGCAGCAGCAGCAGGTGGAAGAGGAGGAGGAGGGGTAGAAGATGCACAGACCATAACATTATCTGAAGTTTTTCGTCCTCAAACCCCACCTTCTTCCGCACTTGAAGGTGCATTGACTGCTCTTCTATACGACTTGAATTGAGGCGGTCTAAGCATTGTCAGTAACTCGTTACTGGCAGCACCGTTTTGCTTCTGATGCTGGCCCCAACAATCCTCGGTTTCCTTCCTCCTAGATTCTTCTTTCGCATTTCCAGCCGGAGACCCCGGCATACTGCAAAGCAGAGGTGCAACTGGCCGTTTGTACGCTCCTTTCACCGCCGAGATACCTGAGGTCTCCCGCTCCCAGCACTCGTCATGCCCGACCCTGTCGCAGCTGTCCCGCCCTCTGAGTTGCTGACGCGTCCAGTCAACACCGGAGTGTGAAAAGGCTTGCGCCGCTGGGAACCTGTAGACGACGGCAGCCCTTTTCCCGCCAACGTTGCTATTGCCACAGTGCATCCAGAACCCCCAAAGTCCTCGTCGCTTCCATATTTGGAAATGCCTTCGTCATCAACACATTTGACGTTAGTGCGAACACTAGTGTCTCTGGCACGTGTTGTCGCTTGCGCCGCTGTAGATGCGTTCTTGCTGCTTCCTCTTCCTGTATCATCACCAGCAGCAACAGCAGCAGCAGCAGGTGGAAAAGGAGGAGGATGAGGGGTAGCAGATGCACGGACCATAACATTATCTGAGGTTTTTCCTCCGCCAACACCACCTTCTTCCGCACTTGCAGGCGCGCTGACTGTTCTTCTAGCCGACTTGAACTGAGGTGGTCTGAGCACTGTCAGTGGCTCGTTACTGGCAGAAACGGGGCTTCTGATGTTGGCCCCAACCATCCTCAGTTTCTATCCTCCTAGATTCTTCTTTCACCTTTCGACCCGCAGACCCCGGCATACTGCCAAGCAGAGATGCAATTGGCGGTTTGTAAGCTCCTTTCACCGTCAGGATACCTGAGGTCTCCTGCTCCCAGCACTCGTCATGCCCGACCCTATCGCAGCCGTCTCGCCCTCTGGGCTGCTGACGCGTCCAGTCAACACCGGAGTGTGAGAAGGCTTGCGCCGCTGGGAACCTGTAGGAATTGCAGCCCTTTTCCCGCCCACGTTGCTATTGCCACAGTGCATCCAGAACCCCCAAAGTCCCCGTCGCTGCCATTTTTGGAAATGCCTTCATCATCATCACATTTGACGTTGGTGCGAACACTAGTGTCTCTCGCGCGTGTTGTCGCTTGTGCTGCACCTTCCTCTTCCTGTATCATCATCGGCAGCAACATCAGCAGCAGCAGGTGGAAGAGGAGGAGGGGTAGAAGATGCACGGACCATAACATTATCTGAGTTTTTTCCTCCGCCAACATCACCTTCTTGTGCACTTGCAGGCGTGCTGACTGTTCTTCTAGACGACTTGAACATAGGCGGTTTGAGCACTGTCAGTGGCCTGTACTGGCAGCACCGTTTCGCTTCTGATGTTGGCCCCAACCATCCTCGGTTTTCTTCCTCCTAGATTCTTCTTTCGCATTTCCAGCCGGAGACCCCGGCATACTGCCAAGCGGAGATGCAATTGGCCGTTTGTACGCTCCTTTCACCGTCGAGAGACCTGAGTTCTCTCGCTCCCAGCACTCGTCATGCCCGACCCTGTCGCAGCCGTCTCGCCCTCTGAGCTCATGACGCGTCCTGTCAACACCGGAGTGTGAAAAGGCTTGCGCCGCTGGGAACCTGTATACAATGGCAGCCCTTTTCCCGCCAACGTTGCTATTGCCACAGTGCATCCAGAACCCCCAAAGTCCCCGTCGCTGCCATTTTTGGTAATGCCTTCATCATCAACACATTTGATGTCAGTGCGAACACTAGTGTCTCTCGCACGTGTTGTCGCTTGAGCCGCACCTGCAGATGCGCTCTTGCTGCTTCCTCTTCCTGTATCATCACCAACAACAATAGCAGCAGCAGCAGATGGAAGAGGAGGAGGGGTAGAAGATGCACGGACCATAACATTTTCTGAAGTTTTTCGTCCTCAAACCTACCTTCTTCCGCACTTGCAGGCGCGCTGACTGTTCTTCTAGCCGACTTGAACTGAGGAGGTCTGAGCACTGTCAGTGGCTCGTTACTGGCAGCACCGTTTCGCTTCTGATGTTGGCGCCAACCATCCTCTATTTCTTTCCTCCTAGGTTCTTCTTTCGCATTTCCAGCTGGAGACCCCGGCATACTGCCAAGCAGAGATGCAATTGGCCGTTTGTACGCTACTTTCACCGTCGAGATACCTGAGGTCTCCCGCTCCCAGCACTCGTCATGCGCGACCCGTAGCTGTCTCGCCCTGTGAGCTGCTGACGCGTCCAGTCAACACTAGAGTGTGAAAAGGCTTGCGCCGCTGGGAACCTGTGGACGATGGCAGCCCTTTTCCCGACAACATTGCTATTGCCACAGTGCATCCAGAACCCCCAAAGTCCCTGTCGCTGCCATTTTTGGAAATGCCTTCATCACCATCACGTTTGACGTTAGTGCGAACACTAGTGTCTCTGGCACGTGTTGTCGCTTGCGCCGCACCTGCAGATGCGCTCTTGCTGCTTCCTCTTCCCGTATCATCACCAACAGCAACATCAGCAGCAGCAGGTGGAAGAGGAGGAGGAGGGGTAGAAGATGCACGGACCATAACATTATCTGAGGTTTTCCCTCCGCCAACACCACCTTCTTCCACACTTGCAGGTGCGCTGACTGTTCTTCTAGCCGACTTGAACTGAGGCGGTCGGAGCACTGTCAGTGGCTCGTTACTGGCAGCACCGTTTCGCTTCTGATGTTGGCCCCAACCATCCTCGTTTTCCTTCCTCCTAGATTCTTCTTTCGCATTTCCAGCCGGAGACCCCGGCATACTGCCAAGCAGAGATGCAATTGGCCGTTTGTACGCTCCTTTCACCGTTGAGATACCTGATGTCTCCCGCTCCCAGCATTCGTCATGGCCGACCCTGTCGCAGCCGTCTCACCCTCGGAGCTGCTGACGCGTCCAGTCAACACCGGAGTGTGAAAAGGCTTGCACCGCTGGGAACCTGTAGACGATGGCAGCCCTTTTCCCGCCAACGTTGCTATTGCCACAGTGCATCCAGAACTCCCAAAGTCCCCGTCGCTGCCATTTTTGGAAATGCCTTCATGATCAACACATTTGACATTAGTGCGAACACTAGTGTCTCTCGCACGTGTTGTCGCTTGCGCCGCACCTGCAGATGCGCTCTTGCTGCTTCCTCCTCCTGTATCATCACCAACAGCAAGAGCAGCAGCAGCAGGTGGAAGAGTAGGAGGAGGAGCGGTAGAAGATGCACGGACCATAACATTATCTGAGTTTTTTCCTCCGCCAACACCACCTTCTTCGGCACTTGCAGGCACGCTGACTGTTCTTCTAGCCGAATTGAACTGAGGCAGTCTGAGCATTGTGAGTGGCTCGTTACTGGCAGCACCGTTTCGCTATTGATGTTGGCCCCAACCATCCTCGGTTTCCTTCCTCCTGGATTCTTCTTTCGCATTTCCAGCCGGAGACCCCGGCATACTGCCAAGCAGAGATGCAATTGGCCGTTTGTACGCTCCTTTCACCGTCGGGATACCTGAGGTCTCCCGCTCCCAGCACTCGTCATGCCCGACCCTGTCGCACCCGTCTCGCCCTTTGAGCTGCTGACGCGTCCAGTCAACACCGGAGTGTGAAAAGGCTTGCGCCGCAGGGAACCGGTGGACGATGGCAGCCCTTTTCCCGCCGATGTTGTTTTTGCCACAGTGCATCCAGAACCCCCAAAGTCCCCGTCGCTGCCATTTTTGAAATGCCTTCATCATCAACACATTTGACGTTAGTACGAACACTAGTGTGGCTCGCAGGTGTTGTCGCTTGCGCCGCACCTGCAGATGCGCTCTTGCTGCTTCCTCTTCCTTTATCATCACCAGCAGCAACAGCAGCAGCAGCAGGTTGTAGAGGAGGAGGTGGAGGGGTAGAAGATGCATGGACCATAACATTATCTGAGGTCTTTCCTCTGCCAACATCATTTTCTTCCGCACTTGCAGGCGCGTTGACTGTTCTTCTAGCGGACTTGAACTGAGGCGGTCTGAGCACTGTCAGTGGCTCGTTACTGGCAGCACTGTTTCGCTTCTGATGTTGGCCCCAACCATCCTCGGTTTCCTTCCTCCTAGATTCTTCTTTCGCATTTCCAGCCGGAGACCCCGACATACTGCGAAACAGAGATGCAATTGGCCGTTTGTACGCTCCTTTCACTGTCGAGATTTGACGGTCCACCACGTTTTCCACTTCCCCCAATCAGAGCTGGATCAGCTCGAGCAGCTCTTGTTCCATTTGCCCCAATCGGAACTGGATCACCTCGAGCAGCTCTTGTTCCA